CAAGGAATTTTGAAGGGTGACCCGTCAGCGCATCCAAGCAAGATGGCGAGTGAAATCCATAGAGGACTATTTTAGTCTACCATTTGGACTTTATACAAAGACTAGCTTTTGCCAGCGGCTTCGCTCGCGTTAATTTATTCCCTTAGGGGTGGAATTTATCAAAATCTTTTCTCAGGGGATGCCTACGCCATAGTAGATTTATGGATACAAAGTCCCAGCCCGATCGGTTTAAAACTGACAAAGTTTCATACAAACTTCCATCCCCTATTGGATAAAATAGGGTGGTGGTAGAATTAATTAAAATCCTTTCTTAGCGGATGCCTACGTCATAACATCTACCTGCATGCCAAATTTCAGCCCGATCCGTCCAGTGGTTTAGGCTGTGCGTTGATAGATCCCTATGTCAGCACCTTTGAGTTATATATGTATAGATTTCTTCTGGCATGTAGATATAAAAAAATATTGTTAAAATATAGTGTATTACAACAAAATGTCGTGTAATGTAAGTAATGAAAAACGACCAAATTCAGTGTCCAAAGTGGGGCCCAAGCAATTTGATTGTTAAGAAGGGCAATTGATAAATTGACTCTTTATTAAAGTTATATGGAATGTGAATTTAAATTTTTCATTATGGTTTGGAAATTTACCTTTTTTATAAGTTTCCTAAGTGAAATTATTAATAAAAAAATTTTAATTTACCTATTTTATAAGATTCCTAAGTGAAATTTTCAATAAAAATTTTTAATGTTAGAATAATAATAATCTCAGGCTTAAGAATTTTAGAAAGACTAAGTTGGCACATGGCAATAAAAAAGTTGGGGCACACCTAAGTGGTCTAGCGGTTTAGCACACCGCTTTGCTTCCGATAGTCGCGTGTTTGATTTTCAAATATTTGCATTCATGGGTATGGTTGTTTGTATTGAACTTCGTGTGTTGTACATGTATTTAAAAAAATCCATCAGTTCATTAGTACTCATTATTCGTCACCGATATACCTCTACGAATTTGCCAGTTAAAGTGGCAGTCGGCTGGTCATAACTATAGCAGAACCGATGCACGCTGGAGTAAACTTCTAATTCAAATAAAATTAAAGAATAATTTATTCATATAGGACACTTTAGAATGTAATTTGTTTTATATTATAATCTTTCCCTAACGTCCAGTTCAGTATATAGTTCCAATTGAGAAGAACTGGCAAGAAACTCAATTGAATCTTGAGTGGAGACCGCGAATTGGCAAACGTCGCGTAGGACGCCCCGCAGCTAGGTGGAGCGATGGCGTACATTACGTAGGGTACGTAGGGTTGCGGGTAGTTCTGGACGAGACGGAGATGATCGTGTCCAGTAGCGTGCCTTGGGAGAGGCCTATGTCCAACAGTGAACTGCAGTGGACTGTTGATAAGTATAAGCTCTGCTTAGCCTGGATATGGTTTTATTTATTTATTTATTTATAATTGCACATGCGTATACATAAATTTACATATGATAAATTAACAATACACATGGACTCTGTTTAAAGAGTATGGCAATTTCGTAGATGACTCATTCCAATAATAAAATTTAAAATTTAGATCTGTTGTAGTGTCCAGTTAGCTCCTATAGTACGTCTGTTAAAAATTCTTTTACTGTATAGTAAGCTTTGTCGGTCAGTAGTTCTTTAAGCCTTTTAAATAAATTAATTTTATCTTCTTGTTTTATGGTTTCCGGGATTTTATTATATATTACAATGGATCGGTAATACGGATTCGCCCTAAACATTTCTATTTTAGATTCTGCCCTACCAGTTGGCTTTTCAATCTATTATTACATTTAAAATTAAAATATGATAAATGCTCATGAACAAATACAGCTATCTCCAATTCTATACCTATGTACAGTAGGTATATATTTAGAACATAAAATGTATCTAAGTATATAACACAAGCAGAAGCTAGGGATCTTATTATTATTAGTATTGTAATGAAAACAAATAACATATATAAAAAGTTTAGTACTAAGTAGTCATTTCCCAAAATAAATTTTTGGGAAATGACTATTCTATTTTTTTAGTCTATGAAATATAAATGGTGTTTATTGTTATATAAGTATATAATGTAGTTACGTTCAGGAATGACGTCCAGCACCTTACTGACTCATTCTGTTGGATACAACAACACATTGTCGTAACCTTACCATTAGTTCTCGATTTATGTATATCGCTGTCGCTGTCTGTCCGTCCCTATGTAGGTTAAAATCTTTAAAACTACGCAGCAGATTTTGAAGCGGTTTTTTTTATTAGATAGAGTGATTCAAGAGGAAGGCTTATATGTACACCCGGGCAAAGCCGGAGCGAGTAGCTAGTTACAGATAAATCGGACATAGATAACGAAATGGATCGAGACAAACTTAATAATAATAATCATTTATTCAGCATCATAATACAGAGTAAAAATATAGATAAACTTACAAACTAATATCGCGTTGTGAGCTGAAAGGGCATCCACTCAGATGGTGTCGCAGAATGTCAGTGCAGCGCTGATTTTCAGTTTAACAACTTCGTCAATGAAGTAATTAAAGTATAATATCGTCGATTAAATAGAAATATGACATTTTTTAAAATTAGCAGCTAGAATTGCCTCCTTTTATATAAGTCAATTAATTAACCACGCCGTATTAATCATTATCTAAATCCTTTTAAAATGATATATAATACTTCTGTGTAAATTTGTGTTAAAACTTTAAAGGAAAAAAATAATTTATTAATTTAAAAAACTTTAAATGCTTGTCTTGTAAAAAATTACATTTTGAATAGTGCCATTTTTCTATTTAACCGACGATATCAAGAATGCTATTTCTTTTTTTCGAGTGGCTGTAGTGGAAATCTGCGCGGCACAGACTTTCTGCGATACCAGCTGGATTATGATGCTGAATTTTTTTTTATTATTTTTCATCTCGGCTTACGCTGGTTTTGGTACTTACGGGCCTAAGCCTAACATGTATTAAGTGTTTAAGTATTTTTATTTCAATTCCGTTCTAATTTTTGTTTAAGAAAGAACACATCTCACGATGTATTGTATCGTGCAAGGAATCAAACCCGCGATCATCGGTGTTAAGGCAATATGTTAAGCCGCTAGACCATCGAGACCGTCAATTAATAATCGGTATAATAGTGTTAAATAGACTTGTAAGTCTGTATTTTATTTTATCTGTAGTGACTTTGTAGCAAGTGGTAAATAATATTAGTATCTTTTCCAAATAGTCCGTCGGACGATTTTCCAACGGACGAGTGTGGCCGAAGTACACAAACGCCGCAAAGTCTGCCAGAGCGTCTATGTGTGCGGACACTGCCATAGATTATCTGTAGTCTATACAGATGAGAAAGGTTTGTTTTTAACTGATGCCAGAGAATTCGCTTATATTACGATGACCTAAGTGGTATAGTGGTTTACCACATTGTTAGTGCGTGTGGTATCGCCGTAAGAATAGCACTACCCTATCTCTTCCCGTGGGTGTCGTAAAAGGCGACTAAGAGATTGATCGACCAGAGGATAGTGATACCAGAGAATTCGTACGCTTGTGTTATGACGGCTGATATGGACGATAGGTGGTTTAGTAGTTTACCACATTGCTAGTGCGTGTGGTATCGCCGTAAGAGTAGCACCACCCCATCTCTTCACGTGGGTGTCGTAAAAGGCGACTAAGAGATTGATCGACCAGAGGATAGTGATACCAGAGAATTCGTACGCTTGTGTTGTGACGGCTGATATGGACGATAGGTGGTTTAGTAGTTTACCACATTGCTAGTGCGTGTGGTATCGCCGTAAGAGTAGCACCACCCCATCTCTTCACGTGGGTGTCGTAAAAGGCGACTAAGAGATTGATCGGCCAGAGGATAGTGATACCAGGTGTTTTTTTTTATAGTATTATCTGCCGCTTCTTTTATGGCGTCATCCTTTTGGCCTATTTTTTTATCCTCTATATGTGTTCCATTGCTTTTTTTTTTCCCCGATAGGTGGTTTAGCGGTTTACTACATTGCTAGTGCGTGTAGTATCGGCGTAAGAGTAGCACCACCCCATCTCTTCCCGTGGGTGTCGTAAAAGGCGACTAAGAGATTCATCAACTAGAGGATGGGCAGCAGCGTACTACTGAGTAACTACAATCACACTGCGGTCGCCAACCCGAATGCCTTTTAGACTTTAGATTTATTTTATATCCACCAATTACATAACTCCAGTTTCGGATTATATCAACAATAGAGAGAGATCTGAAGCCCAAAGTAAGCTTTACACTTTTACACTGGACTAGTAGTACCGCAAGTTTTAGTTTATTAATTGCTGGTAGGGTATTGAGGGTATTCTTAAAACGAATTGGTTTATCCCTTGTAAATTTAAATGTAAACTGGACTCCAGTCTCCGCAATGAGCCTCTTATTTGGGCTTTTGTGCGTGTAGAGCCAGACTACTAAAGTAGTCAACCAAGCTCCTCCCAAAAGCGCAGAAGTCTCCTGGTGTCTTCATAGGCTTCACGGAGCGACCTCACAGTGTATCCCTTTGGGATTTTATTATTTTGTTGTACCATATGTTAAGAAAAGACTGAACCTAAAACATACAACCAAAATCAGGGGCAATATCGAAATGTCAGTGAGGTTCGTCTCATCTCGATTTTTTCTCATCAGTGGGCCCGCCGATAGATATGAACACCCGACCTTCGGGTTCGAGGTTGGGTAATGTAGCGGTAGTACCGCTGGGTTACCTAACACTTTTAGTCTTAAGGAAAATATAAAGTATAAGGAACAGAGTGTTTTAGAGATATGTACGTTATAATTGTATATCACGAGGCTCGTTAATTCTTTCCTATAAAAAGTACTTTGTGAAGATTAACATAAGCTTTCAAAGGGAAAAGTGCCTTCCATAACGTTAGTCTTTGCCCGTGTCAACACGGGATGTACGCATGTGTGTGCGTGGCGCCGTAACTCGCGGATTCTAACCTAAATATGAATTCTGAGCTTCGCTTTCCGCGGACGCGCGCGCCCGGCGGCCAGCGCGACTCAATTTAAAAATAAAACATTTTTTTTAATCCAGCCAGTACCATTCCGTCGCCGTCAGCGTTAGCCACCATAGATAGAGTAATAATAAGTAATATTTAATTAGTTGCTTATATAGTGATGTGATTTTCGATAAATAATGTTTAAAAATAGTGTATACGCGTTAGTTGCAAGTGGTTGTGCAGAAAAGCTCGTGTTTCGGTGACAAATAGTTCAACCTCGGAGTCATTTTCGGACTAAATGGTCGAATTGTTCCAATTAGTGCTTTAGTATTGAGTGATGAAACGTAGAAAGTGGCTGCCTTTGGATTTAGTATTATAGAACACTAATAGAGGTAAATTATTGTTTTTTCTAATTCAGATCTGTTCATTGCTTTTACATCAGACATCGAATACAAACGGATGTTTTTCTCATTCACGAATCGGGGCTTGTTTTGTTAACTGCCAGAGTCTGTCGAATAAATTTATTGCCTTCCAAGGGCCTGACGAAAATAGCGTAAATACTTTATTTACTCCGTTACTGGCCTGTATAATTTGTCTATGACTTTGAGAAAAATCAGCATTTGCTCTATGTTTGAATCATCTGTTTTGAAATTTTCTTAAACTATATTTGTTGTACTGGAAATGTTTTCGCCTTTTTATAATATGTGTATATTATGTACCTACAATAGTGTAATATAGGTACACAGAGAGGAAGGGGATTGGTAGTAATGTGGAATCATTATCCCATTACTAGCAATGTACCATATCAGGTTGACCTTCACGCGGTTCCCTCTGGAAACCATCGTGATAAATTCCTGATGAATTTGTTAAGATGGGCTTACTGACCTAACCTGGTATTCTTCTTATCATCCTTCACTGGTGTCTCGCCAGCGTAAACCGTTAGCGCAGGAGGGTGGACCATTCCATTATCATCCTTAAAAAATAAATATATATATAGGTACACAACAGTACAAGTTCAATGGTGCAAGCTCGGCTTAGTTAGTGACGCGTTTACCGACAATAATTAATTATATTAAAACACGATGAGATAAAAAAAAACTATGTAAAGAAATTCTGTTAACAAAATTATGGAAACCTGAATTTCTAAAATTGAGCGGGAAGAATTGCGACTCCTGAGTTTGAATGTCGTGAAACGACTGCTTAATTCCCGCGTTAATTTAAAATTGGAACTATTTATTTTTTTCTGACATCAGAGCAATTAATTTTCTTAAATTCTAAACATATGCACATTCTTGTAGGCGGAATAGAGTATTCTCTCATACAAAACGTAGTGATTATTTGCTCAGTATAGTACGTACTTGATATTATTCATTAAATAATATATACCCACTTTTTATGGTAATATCAGTTCCTTATAAAATGTTATTTGGCTTAATTCATATATTAGTAAATTCATAATAAATTTTGTCTGTGTTTCTTTCACTACATAATTAATTTAAGATTTTTTATTTATTTATTTATTAAAGATGTATCAATAAAAAAAAACAGAGATTTGGTACTTTTATTAAAATATCCCTATATACAAATTTGACGTCCTTGGTGGTATAGTGGTTTAATACACTGCCTCACCTTCCGACGGTCGTGGGTTCATTCGCCGCAAAATACAAACACACGTCTTCATGAGTATGATTGTTTATAACTGGGTGTTTTCTATTTATAGATACAGGTTTGTATCATTGAGTATAAAATAATTTTACTGTGAAAGTGTGTAACCATTTCTTTTAAATATATTTGGCTTTTAGGAGCAATTCTTGGATATCTTAATTCTAAAGCTTTTATCCTTATTTGCAAGCCTGCTTCATTTTCTACAGTTATCGTGTGGATTTCTCTAAACCTTTCTGTTTTAGAATTGTTATTAGAGTTTGTAATATACGATCTCGGTGGTATAGCAGTTTAGCACACCGCTTTACTTCCGATTGTCGCAGGTTCGATTACTCGCAAGGTGCATTTTATTCCTGAGTTATTCATTAGGCTCGGTAAAATATGTTTTGAGAGGAATGAGAGCTAGCTCAACCGTTATACTCGTGAACGAGTGCTGCTTGTAGGGACTGGTCTGTTCTGATAACTGGGACTGAATTATTTTGTTACTCAAGTAGCTATTATATTTATGTACTTTGTCAATTATGCTATTTGGCAGTTTATGTTAGAGTCATGAATATTGTTATATTATAGTTAGAGTCAACAATACATCAATATTGTAGAAAAAATCCGATATTTTAAAAAGATATTAAAAGAAGGTAGTTTGTGTTTAGTACCCAATGTAAAGATTATTACAAATATTGTAAATAGCTCCATCTAGTATTTATAGATCGACCTACTACACTGACTTCGGTCTATAGATATGGAGGTCGGTAGTTGAATAATCCTCTTTCATTGGGTGAGTCGCGGCATTCAGTGGACGAACGCAGAGCGTGCCGGTTGTGTTTTGGATATTAAAGTGAAATCTATTAGGAATGGATTATCCCGGTCTTAGTTGGGCCTGGGGGGAAGCTGCAAGTAGTGAAGGTGAGTGTTAATGCATTCTAAAAGGGCCTTTTAAACCTTCACCCGTGTCAGAAGTTACGGGCGTTACTTGGTGTTTCCCTTGCGGTAGCCGGCTTCAAAGCCTAAGTCATTATCATCATTAGTGCTTCTTACAATTATATTCACATAAAATGCTATTTGTGTAATGCTGAAAAACATTTTTTTAAAAGTGCATAACACAAATTTCTTTCGCGTTCTTCTTGTGATGAGTCTGCTTTATGAATGAGTGGAAGAAAAAAAAGAAAGAAATTGAAAAGTACTTATATTACGTGTGTTTTAATAAAGATTATTTTTTATTATTTAATTAAAACAAAAAAATATTGTCACAAAATAAGTGTATATATATAGTTCTTCTTTTTTTTTATTAATGGCAACTCGTAATTTGTAATTGTGGAATAGAGAAGGATTGGCAATCTATTCTCGCGGTTCTGAATATTTAGCGAAAAGGGTAGTACCCTCAGGGTTGTCAACTGTAGGTAAATTTGTCAGTAATGATGTTTTATAGTTGCTTTTGTCGAGATATAGAATAAATACATTAGAGGAAGTATGGAAGTGGCGCCGCTGTCGGAGAGGTTAAAGAGTAATCGTCCGTCATGGTATGGGTAAGTAATGTAAACGTAGGAATGAAGACATATCCTAAGGAAGGTGTTACATATGAATGTGGATAAGGGCAGAGACGAATACCGAAAAAGAGATGGATGGACTGTGTGAAAGATGATATGGTAAGAAAGGGAGAAAAAACGAGATGACTGCGAACAGGGAATGGAAGATATACGCCGATGAATAAGATCATCATCATCATGGAGATAAGATATTACGCCGACCACAAATAAATGGGATAAGGAAGAAGATGTTGATGAGTTGTTGTCGAGATACTTCTCCAGCTATAAATGTGAATTAAAAAGAATTACAAAAAATGTTGATACACGTAATGTAATAAACACTGGTGGGACTTTTTTTGTGTATGATAATGGAATGGTGCACCCGCCTGCGCTGACGGTTTACGCTGGCGGGGCACCAGTGGAGGATGATAAGATGAGCATGAGGTCAGGTCAGTTAGCCCATCGTAACAAATTCACCAAGAATTTATCACGATGGTTTCCAGGGGATACCGCGTGGAGGTCAACGAGACATGGTACCTTGCTGGCAATAAGATCATCAGTCCCATTACTAACAATCCCCTTTCCCCCACTGGTGGGACTAGATGGCGCTGTGTGAATTGTCCAAGGTTATTTTTTTTAAATATTGAATGCTTCTCATGTCCTTTAAATCTACAGGCAAATTATAATATGCTTTTACAGCTTGATAACGCGGACAGTGCTCAACTGCCTTAAAACTAGGACAAGGTTCTGTTCTACATGATCTGGGCTTTATATGATAAAGTAAGAAGTTAAATTATTCATATATATCAATTTGTGATTGAAAATCATTATCCAGCAATGGTATTAACCGATAGGATATTGAAACCTTCAAAAGAACTTATTCCTTCTTAAAAGGCCAGCCACTTGCAATTCCCCTGGTGTTGCAGGTGCTCACGGGCGGCGGTAATCACTTACCATCAGGTGAGCCGCAAGCTCGTTTCTCTCTTATGCTGTAAAAAATACCATAGAATAGAAAATCCTTTATTCAAATAAACTTAATTTAAGCATTTTTGAATAGTCATATATTTTTTTTAATCTACCGCTCATTCGGAAACCTCATCACAAGAAGAACGAGCAAGAAACTCATGTGCTGGTCTTTTTAAAAGAAAACGTTCTGTTCAACAAATATTTTCTTCAAAAGAAAATATTTTGTTTGTGACAACCCTACAGATAAGGGTTCGCGATTAATGTAGCACTCATCTAATTAGTTTTCGATATTTGTTTATCTGGGCCGAGGTTACCTAGTTACGCCGACTATATCGTTATGCCCTCATAATCTTCTCTATCTATATTGAAATTAGCTTTTATACGCCACTCCTGTTTTTTTTACTGCATTAACTTTATTCAATATTTTCTTTTCTCTTTATTTAGTTAGGAGCTTAGGATCACAATAGTGAGCAGGTTAGCTCCGTGTCGGATTCTTAATCAGTTACTCACATATTTATATTACATCTTAAACTAAATTTACTCTAAAGATAAATATTGCATATTTAAAATTTTATCTTCAAGAATTATAAATTATTAAATTGTGAACTGATTGTTTCGATTATTAATTCTTTCAATGTACACATTTTTTTTACAATTTAATATACAAACATTTATCATTTATGTTATATTTATTATACGGCCGCGGTTGTAGCAAACTGCTTTACTTCCGATGGTCGCGGGTTCGAATCCTACCACGGTACAAACATTTATATATATTATATATTTATATACTATATTGATTAGTATTATGAATGTTTGTATCGGCCTGGCTTTTTTCTGTCTAGGTAGCTTATATCAGTTGTCTAGTACCTTAAAACAAGCTCTGCTTAGCTAGAGATTAGATGGCGCTATGTGAATTGTACTGAGCAAATTATATATAATACAAAATGATTAATTAAATCACACAATAATCTTATTAATATTATAATCGCGAAAGTTTGTGAATATCGATGAACGTTTGTCACTCTTTTACGCAAAAATTACTAAAGGGAATTTGATGAGACTTCACAGTAGCTTATAGATCAGAATAAAATATAGGTTATAATTTAAAAGTATATTATGTTAATTGGGTGAAATATCATAAATATTAAGTAAGTGTGATACACACAAAGTTGTGCGGGTCAGTTAGTATTAAATAATTTTACTAATTGGTATCTCGTGCTTTGTTTAATTCTTCTGAA